TTTGACTGAAATCTAGCCGGGTGAACATTTTGGTGTATTATTTGGTGTACAAAAAAGAAACAAAAAAAAACATGATGTGAATGAAAGTGGTTGTGGCGATTGTTAGGCTCCGTGCCTAAGTGGTGTGAATGCGTAGTTGATGCAGTTTTTAGTGGGTGTTGCATTTTCTGTGCACACACACTCCCTGTCCAGCAGGTCATTTTATTTCTCTGTTTTCTACAATATTTACAGTTTTTTAGCCTTGTTTTGCTAGAAATACGTCTAGAATACTAGCAGTACGTCCACAGTATTTAGAATCACACAGTGTGATACGTCTTAATGTACGTATATAACAGGTGGTGATAACCACAGTATAAGGGATCTCTGTAATAAACTGTCTTGGGTTAATAATCTCTACACTGATTGTCAATGTATTCCTGGAGGTCTATAAAGTGCCTGATAAAATTAAAATCTCAGAGAGAAGTTCTCAAATAATTGTAAAACCTCATTATCCAATTATCCACTATAGGTTTGACTGCTCTCAATAATAAAAGACACATTTTTTAATCCTTCTCATATTTTGCCTTCCAGTATAAAAAAAAAAAAAAAGATTTCTGGGGCGTTAGGCATATTGAGGTCAGACTGATGAAGTCCGTTTGATTGTGTAACATTCAGAAGTAAGCGTCACTCTGTGAATTGCACATACAGAAACATGTCCCACGTGTACGCGCCACATATGGAGGACGTGGAAATATTTCAGGGCGAATTCAGCCCAATTAGCGTGGCGGAGCGTGCCAGGGACACAGCGCGGGCACTTTGGCAGGCATCCTGCACTGAGTTACATTCAGCCGGTGCAGATAGCTTAGAGAACGAGGGAGTTATGAGTTGATTGGTAGCGAAGGCCAAATCAGCAGAAAATCTCCCCATCCAGCGGAGGGTCTGTCAGTGGCAGCAGATGGGATTCTGGAGAAAAGGACAGAGGTGACCTTTAGTCAGTAAAAAAAATAATTCAACAAGTGCTAAACCTATAGCTAACCATTCATTTCGCTAACAATCAAATGCCCTTGATTAAACTGGAAGACAAATGCGAAGACCCAGGAAGTCACAGAGACTCAGGAAACCCTATTATTATATACACAATATTTCAGGTTAATATTTTAATTTTTAATTAAATTTTTTATTTTATTTAATTTTTTTATTTAATTTTTTCAAATAATCCAAAAAATTTGGATTATTTGAAATAATCTTTCTATTCATAAAACATTATAACCATGCTTATAACGTTTTGTAATTTGGTAAAGATTCCTTGTAAGCATTTTTAGATTACCTCATGAAGCTCATAATGCCTCATAAAGCTCCGAAAATGTGCTATAAATAAGAAGAATAAAAGTTATAATCATGTTGTAATGGAAGTGTTACTATTCATTATAATGCCATGTGGTGTACTGAAAAATCTTAAATAATAATGTCCTGTGCATACTCTATGTGTTTGATTTGAATTAAAGTGTCACTACTGATTGCTTCCAAATATAACAAGGACGCACACGTGTAGCACTTAGCTTCCTGTCCCTTCAAGGTTAAACAGGCGCTATACACAGTACGTGTGTCCTTGGGATTTTCTGCATGTTTTAGAACAAAACAACCATAAATTTTTGTAATGTGCCTTTAGTATATTCTACATTACATATTTGAAACATCTGTCTGTATGTAGTTGTGTAATTAAGCTGGAAAATATAAGTCACTAGTGTCTTACAACTTATAATGAGGAATAATTTAATATATTATTCACTTTACTTGAAGCACTCAGTGACCCCATTTTAAATGTTTATAATGTTTTATAATTGTTCATAAATATTACATTTATTGTTATGTACAGGTCATTATTAGTTATAAAGGTTGTTCAGTACACAACATGACATTATAATGAATAGTAGCACTACTTGATTATCATGGAATTGTTTACAGCACATTATTAGAGTCGTATGAGGCGTTATTAGTGTTGATAAAATGTTTACAGGGAATCATTACCAAGAACAGTTATAATGCTTTAGAAATATGAGATTCATAGAAATTGTTACCAAATATTAGATCATTTTGAAAGTAACATGATCAAATTAAAAGTGTTAAGCTTTCAAGGCTGAGAGCCTGGCTAGAAAAGTGAGTTTATTTTCCAATATTATCTGTATTTTAAAATTTGGTTAATTAGGTAATTGGCTTTTTGTGTAACTTAGAAACATAGCACAAAGTTCTCTTCTGCTTCTATTATGTTGCTGTCACATTCCCTCCATCTGTACACGCACCTCAAAATGTGAAGAGCTTCTGGGGCTCTATTCCCATAAATAATAAGATAAACATTAGATATTTTATTGCTGCAATGTGTAAACAGATGGCCTGCATCAATAAGACATTGATTATTATGTGGTGAACAGAACACGTGGGTTAATCAGGTGATTTATGCTCCGTCAGTTTGGATCATTTAAACCAGTCATTTACTGGATTAACAATGTTACCTGCTTCCTGAGTGGGCTTGCTCTTGCTTTTCTTCTTCTTCTTGTCTTTCTTCTCTTTGGGCCTGGCGAGCTGGAGGAGGCGGTTGGGGATCTGTTTCTGGCCCTCTGCGCTCACGACTTTAGGAGCGAAAGGATTGAAGGCATTAAGGTTTCGTCCTTTCTGTTTGGAGTCCATTCTGGAGAGAGAATTCTTTCTGGGGCTGGTGGACTGCTCGCCTTCGTCCTTCTCCTGCTTCGTCTCCTGCTCCACAGAGCTGCTGCTCTGAATGTTTAATGAGTCCTCTGACGTGCTCGAGAGAGTCCTGCTCACCCTCTTCTGGAAAACATGCAATCCAAAAATCAGTTCTTTTGGTCTGTTGGTGTGTTTCCATGATTAGGCGCCATTTATGTTCTACTAATATTACATTACAAATATGTATGTAAATTAAAGGTAAAAAACATATTAAACATCAGTAAAGTGTCCTTCACAACAACATACAGTATGCATATTTCAGATAACTTAAAATAATAAATCTACAGCTTTTTTCTACACTTTATCTTGAAATATAATAAATAAAGTACTTAATAATTGTACTACTTTTACATAAATGTGTGAATCCATTTAACATTTCATATTTGACACATCCTTTTCCATGAGTCATCCATTATAGATTATTACTGAACCCTGTTACCTGATCACTTTCACCCCTATGAAATATTTGGAATATTCCACAAGTCACATGATCAATAGAAAGCATCATCTGATTTTTCTGAAGATCATGGGAAGAAGAAAAATTCTCTCATTTTTCTTTATTTTCAATGATCTGTAAGGAATGACACGTGACGGTCTGTGTTGTTATACAAAAATAATACACATAGTGGGGAAATAATGCATGTTGTTTTAATTTTAATATAACAGCATGGTCTGGAGTGTGTTATTCCGCTTATACCACAGCGTTTCGCCAATGATTAATGTTGTGGAATGTCTGAGAGACAAGTTAGTTCCTGTTTTTACTTATGTTATAACCGCGATAAACAGTCATTCCCTCATCAGCCTCACTCCTCTCTCTCTCTCTCTCTCTCTCTCTCTCTCTCTCTCTGCTTGTCGTTAACCAGAAAGCGTAAACTCCTCTGCCCTGTTAACCAAATTATAGATTAAAAGTAAATGTCATCATGGATTCTAGTGCATTTGATAATCCTATGGAGAAAAAAAAATGCTGTTACTCATTTAAGAGAGAAATGTAGCCATCATCAGCTTGTGAAAAAAATAAGACTGTTGCCTGAGATGGGTTCACATCTTTTTAATAGTTATCTGCATTAAACTTACATTTTTACAGTTACAAGGGCTAAATGTATTTTGCCAGTTTTGTCCAAGACTTGTTTGATTTTTGATGTAACATTTTGGAAATCATATCTAATGAGTTTCTTATTATGGATGAAACAGAGCCTATGGATTTCAGAATAGTCATGAAGTCAAATAAATGAAGTGGTTGATTAGCATTCTTTTTGTTGCAATCAAATGATCTGTGCTGTGCTGTGCCTTAGCACCTGAGAGCTGCTGGCACTCTTACTTTTTAATTATAATCTGAGTGCTATGTAGAAGGTATAATGCAATTAACACTGCTTAAAGCTAGGGTTGTTTTTCCTTTTGATCTGTTTTTATCCCATTTCTGTTTTTTTTTTTTTTTGTATTTTAACTTGTTCTAGTTTTTATAAAGCACATTTTGTAAACTTCTGCTATAAAATATTCATAATAATTCATTTTTCCATCATGTTTTACTTTGTCTTTTACTTTTAACTGAGTTTGCATCATCAAATAATGCACTGAAATTCTGAATAATCTCAAACTGTCATTTTGGGCACTAAGAATCCCAACAAGATTAAGAGAAATCTGCAACAAGAAAAGTAAGCACACTCTGTTGGTGTATAGGTCCCACCTCCGTCTCCCTGAGCTGCTCCAGCATCTCCATCTCTCTCTTCATCTGCTCCTTCTCTCTCTCCAGCCTCCTCTGTGCATCCCTCAGTCTTTCCAGGTCTTTCTGGTAGTCCTCTTTCTTGCTCTGCAGCTCCTGCTGAGCGTCCTCCAGCTGGGAGCGCCTCCTCTGCGCCTCCTCCTCTTTGGCGTTGAGGAGCTGCTCTCGGTTGCTCAGCTCTTTGTCTCGTGCCTCCCACTCCTTCTCCCTGCGCTTCCTCTCCTCAGCGTGAGCGGCTGCTTCCTGTCGCTGGCGCTCCGCGCTGCGCTGCTTCTCCTGCTCCACTAGAGATGGAGGCCGAGACGAGGGACGTGAGGACGGACGCTCGCTTACAGCCTGACGCTGTTCCTCCAGGAAGGTGTCTTGCTGAACCACCAGAGCCTGCACAAATACACATACACAAAGTAACTGCATGGGCAGAATTATTTTTCAAATCATTTATCTTTTTCTCAGATTCTATTGCAAAGCAACTGTATGATTTATTTTAAAATGTCCAATAGATTTTTATCTTAATCGCAATTACATTACAGGGTGAAATAGTGCTCCATTGTGCAACTCTGAGTGGGTAGTTCAGCGGTTACGATGTTGGACACTGATTAGAAGGTCATGAGTTCAAACCCCAGCCCTGCCAAGCTGCCACTGCTGGGACCTTGCACAAGGCCCTTAACCCTTAACTGCTCAGATGTATAAATGAGATGAATGTAAGTTGCTCTGGATAAGGATGTCTGCCAAATGCTGTAAATGTAAAACTGTACTGCCTACATTTCATCTTAATATTAAATTTTAATCATAAAGTAAATCCTCAAATTAATCTCTGCAGTATATTTATTTATTTTCATTATTTGTTACTTCCAGGTTAAAATAACCACCTCTGTAATATAAATACTACTTTTAAAAATGATTTCACGTTTGTTCATATTATAAAAATAGACCAAACAGCATACAGGCTGACAGCGGAAAAATAATCTCTATACACTTCTCTTTTCTCTGTTATTGGTCCGAAAGAAAGAAAGAAAGAAAGAAAAGCTCATTTAGAAAGAAAGAAAGAAAGACAGACAGAAAGAAAGACAGACAGATAAGGGGTGAATCTATCATAAGTAAGATGAAGTTAGACTGAGTGCAGTGCTGATTGTGGTATAGAAGTGAACACACACCTGCAGTGAACTGAGGAGAGCATGGAGATGTGTAACACTGCTCAGGACCTGCTGTACAAACACAATCACATCACACTTTAATCCCACTGACATTCACAACAGCACACTCATAAGCACTGCTTCACATACACTCCATGTCAGGGGGAAAAGGAGTCTTAACATCTCTTAATGGGTTTGCAAACACTGTGAGCTCAGTAAGCACTAGGGCTGAAACAATTTGGGAAAAAACACATTTAACTGCGATAAGACCAGCACTGAGATTATTTCTTTTGTCTGTTGTTACTGGTTTGAATTTCCCAGCTTAAAACTTAAGCCAACACCACACCATGTCTACACAGAAATTGTGATAGTTTGTCTACTTATTAAGTTACATTTGTTAAATTAATATGACTGTCAATATACAGTTTTAAACTTTTTAAAAAAAGGCTAAAAATAGGATGTCAAATAATCCTGTGACGGCTCGATTCAATTTCCTCTTAAAGCCAAGTAAAGACCAACACCAGAGCTAAACAAATGGCTACAAGCCCTGTTCCAGCTGCCATCTTCAGTCTGTTAAGCAGCTAAATCCAGCAGCCATTGACTATCGATAACACGGCTCACTGAGATTGAAGCATGTTCAGAGGCGTTACCTCTCTGTTCCTCTTCAGCACAAGCAGCAGGTTGGTGTTTCCTCCCTGTGAAGAAGACAAAGCAGAGAGTGGAGTCTAGCTGAGAGGCTTCTTTAATCAGCCTGACTCCAGAGGCAAGTGACCATGAGCTCAGTGCTGCGCTGCTCATTACGAGCTCTAAACAGCCAAGGTGTACCTTACACCCTTCTAACTGACATTCACAGGGCAGATGCACAGACCCTTAAAGTCATACCAAACCTTATAAAAAATATATGATTAAATCCTGAAGGACTGTATTTAAGTGAAAGTATGAAAATTGCTATTGCAGTGAAACAGCAGTGATGGGCCAGTAGTAAGGCATCTTATAACACAGCACTACTGAATTCTCCAGTCTGATTAGTTAGAGGTTGTTGATTCATATTCTAAAACAGCAGCTCTGACAGTTGTGCTGGCTGTAATTCAAATCAAAGCTAATACATTATCATTTCTACAGTACCAAGCCATTCACGGGAAAGGCAGATGCTCCACATAATCGAAGCTGAATAATAAACAAATTTAAAGAAACATGTTATTTAAGAAAGAAAATCTATAACTGTTGATATGCTGAAGTTTTCTCTAAGGAGATATTTATTTATTTAGTCTCCAATGAGAATTGTTTGTCACAGTCATTAAATTTTCTGCCGAAGAGGACTTTTCACTTTTGGTTTCTCAGAGACATACACATTAACTTCAACAGAGAGAAAAAAGACAGCTGCTATAATACGATAGCAGGAACTAACTTGCCACATTAATGTAACTATTAACAGTTAAACATGCAATATGTGGTTCACTAATAAATTCAAAATTGTAATGGTTGTCATTGTATAAGAGTAAAGCACTGGAAAGTATTCAACTTTGGGGTGGTAATAATAACACCAGTTCACACCGGGCTGCATCTCACCACCCCCGCTGATTATTTTCCTATAATAGCAAGCCCCCCTGATTAACTCCTTACATAAAATGCAGGAGCTTTATCATTGTAGGTGCTTCTGTGCTTTTTTCTGATGCTTCTAATGACTTTCTAATTTTAAAAAAAAGTGCCACGTCAAACAATGGATTGTTCAAAATAGAAAAACAAAAGGAGTTTTGGCGAACTTGATTTTGGACTCCTCACCTTTTTTAGAACGCTGTCGGACTCTGTCCTCCTCAGGTCCTCGACCTCCTCTTTATCGCCGTCTGCAAATCCAGACAAACATTAGCCACAAGCAGAGACACACTAAACATTTGGCTGTAGATTCTATTACACTCAATCCTTGAACATAAAAATAAATGATCAGCAGAGAAACACAGACAGTTGCTGTTCATTCAGTATAATTTCCCCACTGGTGAATACAATTAGCATAAAACTGCAGCAGACATGGCAACATTTTGTTGCTGCTGTAAACAGGAGACAGCGAAGACAACAACAACAGTGAATTGCAGCCAATTGTGCTTAAGATTTAACTTTCAATGCTTCACTACAGATTTATTCAATAAACAAACTTCAAAAAATTAGGCACATTACTTACATGTGTATAATATTATTTTGCCTATTTGTTTTTTTTTTTGGAAGGGTCCACCAATGGAAGCCATTAAAATTTTCATCAGACTATTAATTCAAATTGTCATTAGATTCCAGTTGATATTATTTATAAGCATAATAATTTTGGTAATTGTAGGTTGTGGTTTTCACCACTGTAACAAAATTACAAAATCACAGACCACCTGGATTTGTTTTACGGACCTCTTGAGGAGTCCACAATGGATTTAAAGGAACAAAGTAAAACAGATCTTTTAAAATAAAGTAAAAAAATTAATAAAAACATGTACCAACAATTCCTAAAAGGAAGCAAAATGAAAAAAAAAAAATTGTAATAAACACTGAATCCATACCAGTAATAAACAATGGTAATACTAAAAAAAAAAGCGATAAAAGAAGATGCTTCAATCTTATAATTAATTTATAATAAATTTCTTGTGCTCAGAATCTCCACAATTTCTACAATATAAAAACCAAAAATGACAAAGAAGAAACATGCTCTCACGTTTGGAGCTGTTCATCTGGTGGCTGTCGAAGCCTCCAAAGGTCTCGGATCTGCGAGGCAGAAGCACCGAAGCTGTGTTTCCAGGATCGATGGCCCCCTGCTGGCTCACGGCTCCTCCCAGACCGCTGTGGACCAGCGTCTGCAACATCTCCACTGTAGTACACACAAACCCACAGAGACACCCGCGTCACTAACCGCATTACATTAAACGGGTTACCAAAGGGTCCTGCTTGACATTTACTGGTGGAAATGAGCCCTAATGATGCCACAAGGGACACAGCTTTCATGTAAAAAATAACCAGTTCTAACACAGAAATACACTGAAATGTTTCTCTTCAGGTTCTGTATAAAGTGTCACTTACCTTCTCTAATTGCTTCCTTCATGATATTCTCTCCTTTGGGCATGTCATCATTGCAGGCCCTGAACAGCATCCTGATGGCTGAGGCCGTGTCTTCACGTGATCCAGAGCCACACATGTCATGGAAGAGCTTTATCTTCTCGTTCAGGAGAGCCAGGATCTGATCATCCTTCCTCTGAAGCATGGCTGAGAGAAGGACAGAGGGAGGAAAAGAGAATACACAAGGACTAAAGCAATCTTTTTAAAAACTGGCACTTCATTTAGTGACAGTTACATTGAAATTCCAAACCATTTTTAAAACAACAAAAACCTTCCATTAGTGCTTTTCTCCTCACCTTTCATCTCTTTCGCTTTGGACTCCAGCAACTTTTTATCTTCCTCCGTCTCACTAGGGATGCCCTCGTCATCATCCTTTTCTCTGTGAAAGCACAATCAATTTGTAAAAATTCAATCCAGACTTGCTCACGTCCTTTAGCTGTGGTTAGTCAGTGCAACTTTTCCATACTTATAAGCTATACAGCTATACACTTGTCTAACAGTTAGAACCTTTATCTTGTGAATGATAACTACCTGTAACTGAAACCGTACTATTACAGGTACATTTCTGTTCCCCAGCATTAAACAATGTAAACGTACCCTCTAAAGTACAACAGTCAGCTCTAAGGTCCAATAATTAATCAGAACAACATAACAACAATCTAACTAAATATACAAAAGGACATACTCCTGACGGTGTGAGCAGGACCAGATATGCTGGTACTTACCTAGACTGCATAGCGTTCTGGATCAGCTGCATCCATGTGTTGCGCTCGTCTCTTGAAGTGGCATGAACTTCCACCATCTCTGGCCGCTCGATGCCTGCTGCGATGATGAAGAAACCCCGGTCCTCGTTAGCTACCTCTCTGACGATTAGCTTCTGTAGAGGGATAACGGTGGCGCGCTGGTCCTGGGGACGGTGAGTATGCAGGAGAGACAGAGAGAGAGAGAGAGAGAGAGAGAGAAGAGAGAGAGGAAATTAAGTAAAATGAACAGAGGATGTGGGTGGAGTTAGAGGGGGGCAGGGAGCAGGAGAGATAGATAGAGGAAGAGAGAAAGGTACAAACAACAACACCATGCATCAACAATAGTTCAGTCGAGTTCAGTTGAAATGTTTCCCAATTACAAATACATTTTAGGATTTATTTACAACATTGTGCCAGTTTTCAGTGATACATAGCATGATAGCATGATCTTTCTTATCATGGACACTGTAAATGATCATAACTACTGCTATAGGCAGCATAAGAGCAGCTGTGTTTAAAATGATTATTAATTTTTATAAAAGATGTTTCTTATAGTATGTCCTAATGTGAAGGCAATCTCCCATAATTCTGTTCACCAAACAGCTATTCTATACAAGTTTGAAAAACATGGCAGACTACTAAATATTCAAAGCAATATCATGATA